ATGCGGCACAATCACGGGCACGAAGTTGCCTGCTAATACCAGGATGTCGATATAAGCCCACTAGGCGGTTACGCACGCTATAGCGTGCGCTAGGGGCTCTAGCCATGAGAGACGCAGCCACATGAGCTGATTTTCATTATAGACCTTTATTGATTTCATGAGTTTCCGCTCAAACCCGCCTTCTGTGGGCGGAGTCTGGTCCTGCCACCCACCATAAATGTTCCAATCCTGTCGCCTGTACTCCTACCATGTTTGAATTTTCTAGGTTTACGGGAACAGGAGTTATGATTTTCCAGAATTTTTTCATAAAGCATTGCATTTTTGGAAAACGCCCCGCCCACTGGAGGTAGGTCCCCCAGTTGGATCTAACTTACCGATGCACACCTCTAGCTACCTTTAAACCCCTGTTTTGGAGCGGACTTGCGACTGAATTTGAAATCATGGTCCTCAGTACAGCTCACTTTGCCACTCCCACTGTGGGCGGGGCTACGCCAAGCTGATGTGTGCTTTATACTTCTCGGGTGATGGCCCACCCATTCCACGTTTGACCCAGTTTCTCCAGGCAGATCTAAAGGAGCTTAGGAGTTTCGTGACAGACATACAGACAGACAGAACGACAGACAGACGACAGACGAAGCGTTTTATAGTAAGTAGGATAGTTGAGGGTAGTCCTAGTTGATTATTATTGGACTTATTGTGTTATCGAGTTATCAAATTAACCCTTTGGAAAGTTGCTTATCGATTGATTTTGGTAGTGATTATTAGAGCAAACTGTAAAGCTAGGAAGATGTATTTTTATTTAAACATTTGATTTCTGCCATTCATTTTTTAGGAAGAAAAACGTGAAGAACTGGAGGTGCGACAGCGTATACTAGCCGAACACAGTAACAACTACCAGACAGCTAAAGAAAGGTATGGTTAATGTTAGCCAACTTGATTAGAAGTTATAGGCGTTACCATCCTTTCATGGATTATAAAAAATCAGGAAAAATTACCAGAGATAGTCTTGCTCGCTGCCCACGAAATTGATTCTGCCTTTGAGGGTATGGGTGGATAACAGATGTGGCTCCTCAGGCGCTATATCTCACACCATAAGTCCACGGGTTCGAATCCCGGATTGATATCCGCTCAGGTCAGCCAAGCCTCCTAACCCTACGGGGTTGGCTGATTACTACCAGACTCATCTATGAAGACAAAAGCACTGAATTGTACTTCGGCTGGCCTCTTCCAAGTCATTGTATTGGCCATATACGCTCTCAATGCGCCACTCTGATTTTGAATGGAAGTCGAGTGCGTGGGCGTAGCTCTCTGATGGGATTGATCAACACCCCAAGACTTTGTCCTTTTATCCTTTTTACGTACAGGGTCACTCATTGGTTAGATAATTGTCATCCGACCTGTCTGAATAGATGGAACTAGTAGTTTGGAATTGAACCTTGTCATCCATGAGCCGGGTGGGGGACAAATACCATTCGGAAATTCCCTCAATCTTGTTGGACGCATGACACGCTTTGAGAAGGGATTCAAAGC